TTCACCTTCTTTGAGCGTTTGGTTTTTAAAAAAACTTGAATCCTATGTGGAGGAGGTAAGAAATGGTCCGATCTCTACCATCTTTAGAACTGATCTTGTGTTGAAGGAAATATTGAGTTGGACCAAGTCTGGAATGGAATCCGATATTAATGTTGCGTTTTATGAGCTTCATGGATATTTTCAAAATTTTTACCCTTTGTGGAGGAGGTACCAGATGGGATTCGCAGATATATATCATCTTCACAGCAGATCTTGTTTTAGTAGAAATAATGAGATATGTGAAATGTGAAGATTACCGGATGCTTACTTCGGATTTTATGATCGTTTTGGTTATTCCAAAATTTTACCCTTTGTGGGGAAGGTACCAGAAGAAATGGTCAGATCTCTACCATCTTTCTAACATATTTTGTGTTGTTGGATATATACCAAGATGTACCAAGTCTTAATAGAATCGGATGGCAATTTCGCGTTTTATGAGCTCCATGGTTATTCAAAATTGAAACCCTTTGTGGGAAAGGTACCAGAAGGAGTGAACCGATATATCCCATCTTCACAGCATATATTATGTTAGTAGAAATAATGAGATGTGTGAAATATGATGAGTGTTGGATGCTTATTTCACATTCTTTTTGCGTTAGGGTTTTCAAAATCTTAAACCCTATGTGAGGAAGGTACCAGAAGAAATGGTCCGATCTCTACCACCTTTAGATCAGATCTTGTGTTGATGGAAATATTGAGGTGCACCAAGCCTGGACTGGAATCGGATATTAATTTCGCGCTTTTTAGCTTAACAGATATTCAAAATTTTGACCCTTTGCTGGGGAGGTACCAGAAGGAGTGGATCAATATATGCCATCTTCACAGCAGGTCTTGCGTTATTAGAAATAATGAGATGTGAGAAATATGAAGAGAACCGTACGCTTATTTCGGATTTTATGATCGTTTTGGTTATTCAAAATTTTGACCCTTTCTGGGGGAGGTACCAGAAGGAATCGTCTGATCTCTACTATCTTTATAACAGATTTTGTGTTGTTGGATATATTGAGATGTACCAAGTCTTAATAGAATCGGATGGTAATTTCGCGTTTTATGAGCTTCATGGATATCGGAATTTAAACGCTTTGTGGAGGTACCAGAAGTAGTGGACCGATATATCCCATCTTCACAGCAAATCTTATGATAGTGGAAATAATGAGATATGTGAAATATGAAGAGAACCGGATGCTTGTTTCGGGTTTTATGATCCTTTTGGTTATTCAAAACTTTGACGCTTTGTGGGGAAGTTACAAGAAGGAGTGGACCGATATTTTCCAGCTTCACACCAGATCTTGGGTTTATGCAAATATTGTGATGTGAGTAATTTGAAGACAATGATACTCTTATAACACATTTTATAAGATTTATAATTATTCAAAAATTTGACACTTTGTGGAGGATGTACTTGACGGAGTGGACCGATGTTGTCTGACCTAGCATTGACGCAAATATTAGGATTTGCAAAGTTGGAGAAAAATCGAATTATCCTTTCTCTTTCTGTGTAGTAAATTGTTTTTTTGTTTTAATGTCGACTTTTTGTGGGAGAGATACCAGAAGGAGTGGACCTATATTGCACATCTCCGAACTCGATTTAAGCTTGGTAATAATATTACGATTTGCCAAGTTTGGACCAAATCGGATACTCTAGGCAGGCAGACAGACGGTCGGATATCGCTCGATCGACTCCAAATATTTTAAAACGGATATGGTCCTAGGTCTCTTTGGACCATATCCGTTTCAAAATATTTGGAGTCGATTGAGCGATATCCGACCGTCTGTCTTCCTGCCTTGAGTATCCGATTTGGTCCAAACTTGTCAAATCGTCTGCCGTATGACTGAGGGTATAAATTTTTTGTAAATTTTTGAAGAATAGAAATAGTCTGTTGGATATTTTTGATGTGCTATTATATGTTTATTCAGTTACAATTTTAAATGGGACCTGAATGTCCAAAGGCCAAATTAGAACAAGAAGATATTTCTTAGGCAGATAGATAGCCGAGATCAATTTTTATAAGGTTTTTATAAATTGAAATTCAGCCATTCCGTTTGCCCCATCTCAAATAATTCCCCTTTTATGGATTATCTCTTTATGGAACTATAACTGCCAGGACCCATTCAAAGTTCGAATATCACGCAACATAAATCTCTTCACACAAAACATTTTAAGTGTTTTTTTGTCTTCTTTGAGTACTGAGAAATTTTCATACGAAACATAAGTATCCACCCTTTGTTTTATTTAATTACCTGAACCTGATTTGATTTAATTTCAGGGATAAAGAAATTGTAGCACGATTTCTTTTCTTAAGAATAAAAATTCCAATACTTATATTCAATTAAAATAAAAAAACCTTTTCCCTTCAAACAACCCCTCTTTTTAGACAAAGAAAACATCCAAACTTCATCGTTTAATCCAACAACAAGAAAGCGTATGAAAGCAATTTGATTGTAAACAAAGAATGGCAAACGAAATGCATTCAAATGTAACAGTAACAACAACTATAACACATAAATGCAACTTCTGTGAGAGAGGGGACAGATTTACTGCACCAAATGGAGAAAAAACGCAACAGCTATGTTTGGGAGCAAAAAGAGAAAATAGGAGAATAGTGGTGTGAACAATGAAAACTGTTTATGTGAAAATGCCATGGGAGAATAAACAACGTTTTTGTTGAAGGTAGAGAAGTGAGTAGGGAGCTTAATGAGGAAATGAAGTACAGATGAACCTCGAATAATGAAAATTTATGAAAATGCCAAAATTTTTAATTATGCTATAAATCAAAGCCGCCAATCTATATATGTAAAGAGTAGAGAATGACTGACTGACTGAGAGAGAATCAACGCCCAGACTAAACGGCTGAAGCTAGAATCTTGGAATTTTGTAGGAGGGCAAGTCTTGCTACGTAGGCGTTTTATAAGGCGGATCACTGATGGAGTGCAGGAGTTTTTCTAAATTCGAACGAAAAGTTCTAAAGTTGTACTAAACTTTTATAATGGTACCATTTGGTAATATGTGAACGGATAGAGCTTAAAACTTGAAATTTGGTATGAGGATCAAGCCTGATTTTGGAAACGTGTACTAAGAGTGTGAATTGTGCTACATTGGAATTTTTAATTGTTACATTGGGGTCCCGATTGGTAGCTGGTTTGTGATAAAGATATGGTTTTGGAAGTGCACGAAAAGTGCTAAAAATTTGATATTATGATGCTTGGAATCTGAAATTTGGTATTAGGGTCGACTCTTGGACATATGGAGGTGGTTTGGGAAATATATAATTGTATAAAAAGTACTATATGATACTATATTTGCTTAGGGGTGAAGGGAGAGATATAAAACTCTGACATTTGATATTTGGATTAAAAATGGTATCTGTGTTTGTGATTTTGCGGTGGTATGGAAATGCGTCCTATACTGGTATGAAAAATACTAAATGGTACTAAATTTGGTATTGGATGGAGGAATAGAGCTTAAATCCTAAAATTTTATATAGATTTAACTGTTGGCGTTTGTGGTTAAAATATGGAGGAGGTTTTGGATGCAAAGGCGAAAAATTACAGAGCTGAAATCATGAAATTTGATATCAAGTCACTGTCTAGCCTCCAGCTCGTTTATATAGACGTCTCTATAGCTGGAGGACCAGTTCGTCTATAAAGACTCTTGGGCCCACCAGTTCGTATATAAAGACTCCCGGGCCCACCAGCTCGTCTATAGAGACTCCAGGGCCCACCAGCTCGTCTATAGAGACTCCAGGGCCCACCAGCTCTTCTATAGACACTCCCGGGCCCACCAACACGTCTATATCGACCCACTGGCCCACAAGCACGTCTATATCGACGCACTGGCCCGCCAGCTCGTCTATAAAGACCCACTGGCCCACCAGCTCGTCTATAAAGACTCTCCTGCTCCTCAGCTCGCCTATAATGACTTTGGGGCCTCCAGCTACTAAATAATCCTCTGGCACCCAGCTCGTCTATAAAGACTTTCTGACATCCAGCTCCTCTATATGGATCGTCTGGCATCGAGCTCGTCAATATTGACTCTCTGGCATCCAGTTCGCCTGATATAGACTCTCTGGCCTCCAGCTCGCCTATATAAACTCTTTAACCTCCACCTTGTTAATATAGACTCTCTGATACTCAGCTCGCCTAATATTGACTCTCTGGCATCCAGTTCACCTATTATAGACCCTCTGATCTGTTGTTAATATAGACTCTCTGATACTCAGCTCGCCTAATATTGACCCTCTGGCATCCAGTTCACCTATTATAGACCCTCTGCCCTGCAGCTCGCCTATATAGACTTTCTGCCCTCCAGCTTGCCTATATAGACTCTCTGGCCTCCAGCTTGCCTATATAGACTCTCTGGCCTCCAGCTTGCCTATATAGATTCTCTGGCCTCCAGCTTGTCTATATGGACTCTCTGGCCTGCAGCTCGTTTATATATAGACTTTCTGTCCTCTAGCTCACCTATATAGACTCTCTGCCATCCAGCTCATCTACATAGCTCTGCCATCCAGTCTCTGCCATCCAGTTCGTCTACATAGATTTTCTAGCATCCAGCTCGTCTATTAAGACTCTCTGGTCTCCAGCTCGTCTATATAGCCTGTTTTCATTGTTCGAGACTTACCTGTTCTTTTGTCTTTGCATACTGCTGCATTATGCATTTTTTTTGGTATATTAAGAGAGTTTCAAGAGAGCATGGATACCATCAACGAGAGAGGGAAAGAGGGGTTACTTACAAAACATGTGAGCTTGCTTTGTTTATTGCCTTCATCACAAGCTGTACTATCATCGTCGTCGTCCTCGTCGTCATCATCATGATGGCTTGAATGGATTGTTGGCCGGTTCATGTTGTTGCTTTTGTTAATGGCAGTGTGCTGCACATTATTTTCTTCTTCTTCTCGTTTTTCTTCAATAGCCCTCTTGATGGCAAAAAAAGAAACAGAAGAGAAACAATTTTCATATTTTCTTCTTCACAAAAGCAAATGTTCTTTAGTCTTTCGTTAACTGTCGTTGCACTCAAACGGACGAATAGAATATTGGCGGAAGCTGTACCAAAAGAGGAAAATAAGAAAAACACAAAAAAGAAAACAAATTACTGAACACAGAAAATATAAATTGAAAATTCGGCAGTCGAAACAAATAACAATTTGCTAGTGGGCGAACGTCAAAAAAAAAAAACCAAAGAAAAAATTGGAAAAAAAAAATTCAGACAAAAAAAAATTTCCGCATATTTGGCGGAGCATCAAATCCCTTGGATTTAGATTTGAGTTTTCAAAATTTTCCTGAAAAAAGGAAAACAACAAATCATTTTAGAAATGTCTTAAAGAAAACAAAGGAGTGGTAAATAAAACGCGAGTGGTGGAAGAAGACCAGTGATGTGATAAAAAACCCGAAAATTGTAATCATTTCTTCTTCAACATCTCTTCTCCCTCTTCTTCTGTTTCCCTCTTTCTTTCTGTAATTTATATAATTTCTTTAACAAAAAATTACAATTTCGCACGTGTATTTGTGTTGTTGTTGTTGTCAATACTTTACAAAGAATTAAAATTAATTTGTTGAAACATCAGTGGGCCATTTGCCAAAGAGGAAGAAATCGAGCAGCTAGCCAGCCACCAAGTGATTGCATCAAATGTAAGTACCTTGAATTTCGCTGTTGGTCGCCAGCGTTATTTATGACGTCGTTGTTTTTCAGCAGAAGGGGACGAGGTGGGGGTGCCAAATATTCATTGCTAATTATTTTATTTTTGTCTGTCAACGTAATTAATTATTTGTGACAATAGGAATTTTTCCTCTTGTTGTTGTTGGTATCATACAATGTTTGTCGGTCTGATTGGGATATTCCACAAGCTGTGTGGTGTACATTAATCGTCGGCCAGCCGTTTGTTTTGACAGTAGCAATAATTGATTCAAGGAATAACAATAACAAGAAGAATACAATAACTTTACCATAGCAACAGTGTCTATAGGTTTATTGAAATATGCGTAAAAACAAACATATGTATGAATGTATGTTCGGACATACAAGCATATGCAAATGCACAAACAAGTACGGCTTTATGGGCCAAACATGTGAGCGGAGTAGAAGATACCCTACAATAGAAAAAGTGGTAGTTTTTGGCAAACTAATGCATCACAACCAAGTAATTATCAATATTTATGGATATTAAATTTAAATATTTTATCTTCAGGTTGAAAGATTTGAATTTCAACTCAAGAAAAAAAGGGGTTTCAAATGGAGTTACAGCATAAATCTAATAGAACAAGCTAGGAAACTAGTTTTCGTTTATTAAAATACATTTTGACTTACGTTATGATTATTAAAGCCGTCGACCCTTTATAGGGAAGGTTCCGAAGAAATTGGGCTAATATTATGCATTTCTTATCTGACATAGATAGATCTGATATAAATATTACAACGTACCAAATATGGATTATACCTACTACTTTCCTCCCTTTGCATGGGAAAGAGAAATTGTTTTTTTTTTTAATAGAAGGACAATTGGTCTCTTCTCTTCCTCTCACAGAAGAACAATTGATCTTCTCATAGAAGAGCAATTGGTCTTCTCATAAAAGAGTAATTTCTCTTCTAACAAAAGACCAATTGGGCTTTCCAAAGAAGAGCTATAGGTTTTCTTATAGAAGACCTATAGGTCGTCTCACAGAAGAGTTATAGATCTTCTCACAGAAGAGCTTTTGGTCTTCTCATTGAATAGATATTGGTCTTCTCAGATTATTGCTTTAGGTCTTCTCATAGAAGAGCTATAGGTCTTCTCACAGAACAGCTATAGGTCTTCGTAGGAAATAGCTACAGGTCTTCTCTCATAGAAGTGCAATTTGTCATTTCTCTCAGAAGAGCTATAGGAAAATATTGAAATGTGCGTGAGATACTGGTAGTGGACCGGAGTATTCCACTTCGTCTAATACTGATAAAAATATTGAGATGTTCAAAATTTATGGTAAATCGAACATTTAACCTTCTATGGGGGCCGATTATGTCCGTATTCACATCAGATCTCAGGCTGAGAATAATATTTAGATATATTAACTTTGAAAAGAACGGCTGACAAGTTATGATAGGTATACCTATCGAAAATTGTGACCCTTTGTGGGGGATACACCAGAAGGGGTGGTCTGACCTTCCTTATTTTCCCATCGGATTGTGTTGGAAAAAATATTGAAATGTGTGAAATTTAAAGGGAATCAGATGCTTATTTCGATTTTTTTAGGGTAATATAGTCATTGAGATAAAATTTTGCAAACAACATTTGCTTGGCCCAAGGACGAACCCTATAGAAATTGGAGATAATCGGTAAAAATTTAGATATAGCTCCCATATATATCTTCGTCCGATTTGCCTTTTATTGTGCACCAAACGTGTAATATCAGCCCGAATTGTATGGAATTTTGCATATACAACCAAATTAGGCCTGAAAATATGTATGCCAAATTTGATTGAAATCAGTTCAGATATAGCTATAGCTCCCATATATATTGTTCATCCGATTTGTTACTTTTGTCCTCCGCAGACGTAATATTCACTCTGTAACAACAATATTTGGGGAAATATATCAAATGCAGCTCAGAAATACATTTGCTAAATGTTATCGAGATCGGTTCAGATTTGGATATAGCTCCCATATATAACTTCGTCCGATTTACATTTGATTGTGCACCAAACGTCTAATATTTTCCCAAATTGGATGAAATTTGGAACTTACGACCGAACTGAGTCTAGAAGCTAGTATGTCAAATTTGGTGAAGATCGGTTCAGATATAGCTATAGCTCCCATATATACTGTTCCTCCGATTTGTTATATTTGTTACCCACAGCCGTAATATGCACTCCGTAACAACGATATTCAGGGAAATATATCAAATACAGCTCAGAAATATCTTTGCCAAATTTTATCGAGATCGGTTCAGATTTGGATATAGCTCCCATATATATCTTTATCCGATTTCAAATTAATTATGCACCAAATGGGCAATACAATTCCGCATTTAAAAGATACAAATGCTTCGGCATATTTAGTCCTTTGAACTTTAAATTATAGTTATAATCGTAGCGTGTATGATTGAATTCTCCCATAAAAACTTTTAATTGTTATGTGGAGCTCTACTTAATTAGCAAAGTGGTGTAGGGTATCATAAAGTCGGCCCCGCCCGCCCAAAAATATATTTTTTATTATCTTTTATAAAGTTTATGTCCTTGACAATTCTTTTCCAAGGAAAAATCCACAGGCCTCAGAAAATTAATTATAGGAAAGTCGGTTATAATTTAATTAAGAACAAAAGAAAAAAAAAATGATTTCAAAATTGTCATTACCATAAATGATTACCAGTTACAAATTTGGATCTGTGATGAAGATTTAAGTCAGTCCGTCGATCAAAATTTTCGACATAATTGCTATTCATGTGAAATCTTTTTTTTCCAAAATAATCAATTAAATTATTGTATTTATAAAATATCCCCCTTGTGCATCTGTAGGGTATCAATTATATTGCCGTCCTCCGCTGGCAATAATCAAATATATTGTTTTTTCTTCATCATATTAACATTCTGAGAACAGAACAGGTGCAATAATTACTTGAACCGTATCCGACATAAGTTTCTTTGCAAATATTTTCTATTGAACTACAACAAGTATTTCAATGGTCTTTTTAACTACATCGTGTTCATTGTTCAGCATCAACATCAGCAATTGCAACGGCTGCCAGACAATTGAATATTAATAACACGTTAAAGTGATTACAATTGAAAGCCAGCATTAACCCCTAAAAGGCACAAGACAACATTTTTCGTGGAGAGACTTCCAAGAGCTCGTACATACAGGGTGAGATAAAAAAATGCAAAAAATGTCGGAAATAGAATCAAATTTTAAAATAAGTTTAGATTTGTTCGAATTGGTCATCTTTGGCACGAATTATGACCTTCAAATGGTATTTATTTTGGCCCATTCCCGGCGAAGCGTTTGCTTGAGATGATCGACACTTTGGTAATTATAACTCTTACAAAATGTGTTGTAAGTGTCCGATAGTATTCAAGTTACACACATCACAATATTTTAATTAACCCAGGGTCTGGTATAAAGATGAAATATACCGGTTCACTCCCTCTGGTACCTCCCCAACAAAGGGTCAACATTTTGAATATCCACGAAGCTTATAAAACGCGAAATTAACATCCGATTCCATTCAGACTTGGTACATTTCAATATTTCCATCAACGCAAGATCTGTTAGAAAGATGATAGAGATCGCACTATTTTTTCTGGTACCTCCCCCATAAAGGGTAAAATTTTGAATTACCAAAAACGAGCAGAAAATCCAAAATAAGCATCCGGTTATTTTCAAATTTCACACAATCTATTATTTCCACTAACACAAGATCTGCTGCAAAGATGGTATATATCGATTAATTCCTTCTGGTATCTCCCACACAAAGGGTCAACATTTTAAAATGTCGGAAATAGCATCAAATTTTAGAATAAGTTTAGATTTGTTCGAAATGGTCATCTTTGGCACGAATTATGACCTTCAAACGGCCAATAAAACCGTCACACGCTGTCCGAATGATGCTCTGCGGTATTTTGGCCCATTCCCGGCGAAGCGTTTGCTTGAGGTGATCGATACTTTGGTATTTTTTAGTGCCAAACTTGCTTTCCAAAATACTCCAAACACAATAGTCCAATGGAGTGGAATCCGGAGATTTTGGTGGCCATTGTGAGCTGGAAATGAAACGAGGAACCTCATTTTGTAACCATTCTTAGGTGGCGCGTGCTGAGTGTTGGAATGTCCAAGGTATGTGGCCATAATGTTTGCGTGCCCAAGGCTTAAATACACCCTCCAGAATATTTTTGCGATAATATTCGGCATTTATTCTGATGTCGATTAATTCGAGTGGAGAGCGACCATCGGCAGTTATGGCGGCCCACACCATCACCATGGCTGTAGCCGGTGTTTGAGTTCTGGTGGCCAAACGAAGGGGCACAAGTAAACACAATAATTTTGTTTGTTTACAAACTTCTGGACAACGAATGTTTTCTCATCGCAGAGAGAGAAAACCAAATTCGGAAGTTCACCACTTTCGGCGAAGCAAAGCAACTCTTTAGCTCTTTTGAGTCTATTTTCCTTCTGTTGCGGAAGTTCTTGCACTTTTTGGAATTTCAATGGCTTTACCCCGAGCTCATTTTTCAATATTTGCCGACCTCCAGCTCGTCTATAAAGACGACCTACAACAGCTCGTCTATAGACACGACCTACAACAGCTCGTCTATAGACACGACCTACAACAGCTCGTCTATAGACACGACCTACATTAGATCGTCTGTAGAGACGACCTCCAGCTCGTCTAAAAAGACGACCTCCACAGCTCGTCTATAAAGACGACCTCCAGCTCGCTATAAAGACGACCTCCACAGCTCGTCTATAAAGACGACCTCCACAGCTCGTCTATTAAGACGACCTCCAGCTCGCTATAAAGACGACCTCCACAGCTCGTCTATAAAGACGACCTCCACAGCTCGTCTATAAAGACGACCTCCACAGCTCGTCTATAAAGACGACCTCCAGCTCGCTATAAAGACGACCTCCACAGCTCGTCTATAAAGACGACCTCCACAGCTCGTCTAT